CGCGCAGATGCACAAGCTATAAATTTTGCAAGCGCATTAATTGGCTCTCTAATCTACTCGGGAGTTAGCGCGGTCAAGAGGATCGGCTAACGAGCGAAAAGATGGTGAGTGGAGAGTCGGGCGACCCGACGAGTTGGTGTTGGGTATGCGGGGTTGACGCGTGGCCACGAAGGACTGTGGCAAGCGGGCGAGCCTGGCTTGCATGCTCGGCCCAAGCGGGGTGACGACTTTGTATGGTTTGGAGGTGTGGGGTGACTGACTGCCCACACCAGAAGGGTGCAGAAAGAAAGAGAGAGAGAGAGAGAGAGAGAGAGAGAGAGAGAGAGAGAGAGAGAGAGAGAGAGGGGAACGGGGATATGGTGGAACAATGCCCTTCTTCCGACCTTCTGTGAAATTTTGACTCCAACGTTAGCCAACTTTGTTGCGGTGGTTTCGGATTGCTTTGTCAATCATCTCGGATTATCTGTTTTGTATGTATGTATGCATGCTGATGAACGAACACGTATCTCCTTTCTCGAGCTGTTTCTGATTTTCAATTTTGTTTTGTTAGCCATCTGCGCTGCGTGCACAGCGTAGCCATCCGCGAGGTTTTGGTTCCCCCGGATTGGGCCGGATACACCCGGTGCGCATGCCTTGCCTGACCACTTGCTCTTAGTTCATGCATGATTACAGGAATGATTTGATGTATTGGTCCTTAATGCTGGACAATCCCTTCTTTGCTGTATGATGGTATGGACACGTATGTAATGATTGGATCTCACTTGGAATGATGATGGTTGCATGAGAAGGATAATTGCATGCATACGGGATAAACCGACGCACGGACAGTAGCGACTACCACCGGCTTATCAGTGCGACAAGATAGGATTTGAGCAGTCTGTCTGCGCAAGCGCCCGTGTATGACAGCAAGTCCGGCAGCAGAGTCTGCAACATACACGCGCGTCTGCGTAAGCCGAGCTGCGATATCGCTTCGTGAGGAAATGAATGTAATTATCGTCCATTGAGTAGGATATGGTAGTGGAAACTCCCTTCTGGGTCACTGACCGCGAGAGCCTAAGGAACTCAGAGTATCGGACGTATTGGGAGAGGGAACAGCTTAGGCGACGACGAAACTCCCGGAATCCTGACTACTCCTGTCAGACTGAGAACGATCGACTGTGTGGGGGCGATTTCAAGTGGGCCATAAACCAGGATTCTCGGATTCCGGACTATCCCGACACCCGCAATAGGCAGTATTATCTAACCCCAGGCTTCGTCGCAATTACTATCCGTTTTCTTCCCTATTATATCCTTCTCCCGTATCATCACCTAACGGTTGTCCCGTGGGACGCCATAACTCGTTACTGGCCCCGCACACCGTGCCCGGAGTGCCAGCAATACGACGAGTATCGCGAAGCAGGGTTCATCTTACGAACCCGATCCGACGCAGAGCTTCGGGAACACAGTCTCCAACTACGACCGTCCTTTTCAGACTTTGAGACGTGGATTGGCCGACGATGGTACATGCGCTCTCAGAGAGATACTCATAGCATTCCGCCTGTACATCAAAAACGTCCCCGACCCAAACCGTGAGATCGACAATCGCCCTGATTCTGAGCTAAAATGAGACTCTTGCACTCCTACCCCTGAAACTTGACGTCGGAGATTCCAGTTCCGACCTGGGACTCCATCCCCACTTTCATAAAATCCTTGGCACAACCCTATTCGCACTTCGAGACCCACTAACACTCCGAAACAGGAAGTCGCGCTGGGCGTGAGGTTGGGCGCCACAGCGACGACGAACCACAATCTGTTCGCCTCTCAAAAATGGGATCTTGACAGTATGATCACCAATAATAATATGGCGAGGCAGACGATGGCTATGGCCGCCAGACATGTGAGCATGCAGACGACGACGACGATGTCGGTGATGGCTTCAACAAGCAAGGAGGGCTGACTGCAATTTTCCCTACATGAGACGACTATCACCGACGGAACATCTTGAGAAGAACACCTCCCACACTTGCACACGAAATGCCGCCTTGCAGGGAGTGCCTCCTTCCAGGACATGACAAGGACGCCATGCTGGTCTCCGTAGATGGGGGAAGGAGAGCGGGCGATCGTGTGATCAGTATGATCCACCACGGCTGACCACGTCGAACGTGTGACACGTGGTAGCAGCACTACTGGCGCGGGGTTTCACAATGGGAGGAGCACGTTCGTTGGACAATTTGCCTTCAGCAAGCTGAAAGTCGCCAGCTTGCACGCAGGTGGTGGCGAAACGCTCAATCCCCAATGGAAGAGGAGAGAGTGTCCGTCAGCGCCACTCCTCCCCTCAACCAGTTGGGGCGTGCATGGACCGTGCGTGCGCAGCGGGCCATTCACTGTGCTAGCAGCCCACCCACTGATGAAGTGGCCATGGATCCCGTGAACGAGCCTTGGTGGAAGCAGGCATGCGATGGCACACATAGCAGTCGGTGGTGGCAGTGTGCGTGTGCGAAGATAGGCAGGCAAGACATGCACACCTCTCAGCATGCACCTTTGTTGGCACCTGCGCCGTGTATGCAGCCTGCATGCTGCCACCGTGCAAGTTGATGTAACACGCTAAGCGTACACTACGTTTTTCGAATTTGAAATTGAAAAATGGCGGGCCCGGGATTCACTACACCGGTGCTGGAAGTGGGGATCCGTTAATGGGTGACAACACCATGTTCGTCGCCCTGGCCACACAAGTGGTTAATAGGGACCCCCACTCTTCGGCTCTGGGTAACGATGAATGATCATGAAATTAGGGTTTCAGGATCAATGAACCAGGGATAGGCTCGGCTCGGACTATGGATGGACCAGCGGGTAGGAAACGAGTTTCCAATGAAGGACATGCCCCCTTCCCTACTCTCTGGCCGGGGCACAAAATTCCGGCGGAACCCGTTGCACTTTTCCGATGGGAAACCAATGTGAAAAGAAAATTTGTCTGGCGCCCCTGTATTTTGCATTTATTTGCGTTGCGCCCCTCATTTGGCCGTTTTACCCTGTCACGCCCCTGTGACCAGGGTTCAAATTTCCCGTAAGACCCTGGTGTCGCTTGGGCCTCAAATGCTTTCGTCGTGCCTCTACCGGTACCCGTGCCAAATTTTCAGCATGCCCTTATCGGATGGTCGTTAAAAGCCTGCGCCCGAATTTGTATGATGCCCCTACCGGTACCGGTGCCAAATTTTCAGCATGCCCTTATCGGATGGCCGTTAAAAGCCTGCGCCTGAATTTGTATGATGCTCCTACCGGTACCGCCCATCTTTCTGTCGCGCCCCTGTAGTCGTTGGAGGCTCTCAGGGGCATTTTCCACGGGCCTCTCAGGGACCTACCGGGGCATAACACAAATTTGACCGTAAGGGCATGTTTCTGCCATGCCCTTGCTTGCATTCAACGACAGTGGGCCACTGTGGCTGGCTGTTTGTGGCCTGTGTGCCCGTCCTGTACCTATTGGAGGCGGTCTGGTGCATTCTCCACCGGGCCTGTGATGGAGTTGCCGGGGCATGACACAAATTTGTTGGTGTTGACATCACACTCACAGCACCTTTTCCTTGTGAATGCTGTTGTTGCCCCACACAAGTGCAGTCACCTTTTATGCATGTGTGCCCCTCCTGTACCCATTGCCCCACACAAGCAATCAATCCTCTTGACACAGACATGGAGTATGTCTGTGTGCCCGTCCTGACCGCCCCATGTGGCGTACATCATACTCACAACACCTTTTCCTTGTGAATGTTGTTGTTGCCCCACACATGCAATCAATCCTCTTGACACACAGCATGCAAGTGCAGTCACCTTTTCCTTCTGAACGACACATGGAGTATGCCTGTGTGCCCGTCCTGTACCCATTGCCCCACACATGCAATCAATGCTCTTGACACAGACATGGATTATGCCTGTGTGCCCGTCCTGACCGCCCCATGTGGCGTACATCATACTCACAACACCTTTTCCTTGTGAATGTTGTTGTTGCCCCGTACTCGCATGCAGAGTCCCTGTTACCCTACCATTGCGGTAGGGCCTTTATGTCGGGTAGTTGTGGGCCTTTTTCTGTGACTGTACTGGGACTGTGACCTTTCACAGTCCCAGTCCAGTCCCAGTCTCTGCCAACATGAGGGCCCGGGGTGATGTGGGATGTTTACTTTCTGCCAACATGAGGGGGTGATGTGGGATGTTTACAATTTCAAATGGGGCTCCTTTGGACATGGTAAACAGGTATTCAAGGCACGTGGAGGGGTGTTTGTACCGAATTAAAGAGGTTGTTTTCCCATGAAAGAGGGACTTAGGAGGTGTTAGTTGAACAACAAGGGTGTTCACACAGTGAAGGGAGTGCAAAGGGGGTTTCATGGTGTGGACTCAAGGAAGGAGATAGTGCTGACACCTGCCTTTGGTTACCACTTTTGTTCGGGTCAAGAGAGAAGAAAACTGCGGCAAGAGTAAGGTAATCATCGAACAAGGGTCAGTGTGAAGATGGGGTCTGGTGGTGAGGTGGTGAGACAAGTAGTTTGGGGCACAATATGCTCAATTTGCACCCATCATTGAGCATTAGCCCGCATCAACGAACACTGTTACAGTAGGAGGCAGGCAATATTGTTAGGCACCAATGACATGTCAAAATCAGCCCTTGAACATGCTCAAAGGCAATTGGTTTTCTTTCTATCTGGCACCAAAAATGTTTGCTCCTGATAGGAGCCTTCCAGCTTTGAAAAAGGTGAGAAAGAGGAATGCGGAAAAAAGGTGGAACATAACAAGTTGTGTGTGGAACACTGTTATGGTAGGAGGCAGCTAACATTTGTGGAAGGTCACAGCCCCAGTACAAGTCTGCCTGTGAATTTTGCAACATTTGCGACATTTGCCTCGGGGACTGTGACTGGGCTGGACTAGGACTGGACTAGGACTGGACTGGGACTGAGACTGGACTGGACTGTGACTGGACTGGGACTGGGGCCTCTGAGACTGCGGCATTTGCCGAACAGACATGACCCTCTCTCAGCCTTAAAATTGACTGTTCATTTAGGACCTGACTGTGAATTTTGCAAAACGACTTAAAGTCACGAAGCAGCATTCCAAAACGCCAGTTCCCTGAGGCATATGTCGCATCCAAACTCAAATAAAAAATATTTTTGCAAAATTCACAGTCGGGTCTGAAACGAACAGTCAATTTTAAGGCTGAGACAGGGTCATGTCTGTATGGTTAGTTGGGACTGTGACTGTACTGGGACTGTGACCTCTCACAGTCCCAGATGAGTCACTGTCCAGTCCATTCGCAGTCTCAAAGGCCACAGTCCCAGTCCAGTCCAGTCACAGTCCCTGAGGCAAATGTCGTATCCAGCCTCACCAGAATCAGATGTGACCCTTGGGACTGTGAGTGGATTGGGACTGTGACCTTTGACTTACTGCCGAACAGACATGACCCTGTCTCATAGTTGGTAAAATTGACTGTTCGTTTAGGACCCGACTGTGAATTCTGCAAAAGTACTTTTTGTTTCAGTCCGGATGCGACATTTGCCTAAACGAACAGGTCCTAAACGAATTAGACTTAAGGCTGGGACAAGGTCATGTCTGTTCGGCAGGAAGTCAAAGGTCACAGTCCCAGTACAGTCGCAGTCCCAAGGGTCACCGTCCCAGTACAGACACAGTCCCGAAGGTGGTCATTATGCATACATGGTGTGTACGTGCCATTGTGTCATAGAAGCCAACACGAATGCAAAGATTGTCCAAGCAGCAAATCATGAGATGTGAGTGAAGGAGGGCGGACGTGCAGGGGAGATAATAGCCAGACTTCGGCAGGGAATTGCGGTATTTTCGCACGCCTTCCTTGAGACATGATGATTCACAAACGTGGTGGTACAATAAATCAATATCTTGCTGCTCGAAGCCTGACAAAACAGGCGACAGCGCTCTCAATGTACGAGTTGAAGTTTCATTATACAACAATGCCAACTCTCTCTCTCTCTCTCTCTCTCTCTCTCTCTCTCTCTCTCTCTCTCTCTCTCTCTCTCTCTCTCTCACACACACACACACACACA